AAGTTGGCCCCAAACGATTATAGTAGTAACTTCAGAGATCACTGATCAGAGTTCACCATAACAAATATGGTAATCATGAAAAATTTGTAATATTGTGAGATTTACCAAATGTGACACAAAGACACAAAGTGAGCAAATGGTGTTGGGAAATTGGCACTAATAGACTTGCTCCATGCAGGGCTAGGGTTGCCATAAACTTATAATTTGTGAAAAAAAATACAATATTTGCAAGGCACAATAGAGTGAGGTGTGCCTATATACCTAATTTGTTTGTACTTTGCTTTCTTGATTTTCTCCACATTTCCTTTAGCTCTTTGAGCATCTTGAAGGCAGTTGTATTAAAGTCTTTGTCTAGTAGATCTGCCATCTGGTCTGTCTCAGAGATAACTTCTATTGGTATTTCCCCCTTTGAATGGATTGTACTTTCTTTGTTTGCCTTGTGGTTTCTTTGTTACTGAAAACTGGATGTTGGAATCTAGTAATGTGGTAACTCTGGAAATCAGATTCGCTCCCTTCCTCAGGGTTTGCTGTTTTTTTAGTTTTTTATTTAGATTTTATGGCTGCAGGCTATCTGCATGCCAGGGATCAGCCTGAGGTGTAAACTGGAGTCCTCAGGTCTTTTCTGAGCCTGAGCTTTTTCCTGGGCACGCTTGGTGACTTTCTAAATTCCTTCATATGTGTGGTTGCTTTTGAATGTCCTAGTCCTTAAATGTTGGCTCCCAAAAGGAAAGGAAGGAAAATAAAGGTGGGGTGGCAGTGGAAACAGGTTCTGGCTGTAACTGAGCAGGACCCTGTGGGGACTTCCCGGGACAGACCCCTCCTCCATATGCTCTGCTGTTGCTCCTCTCTAAAGGACATAGATAATAGTATCTGATGCACATTTTCTGAGTTGTTTTGCAGATGCTAATACCACCACCAAATGGGAGAAGTTAACTACTTGATCATGAGCACGTGGCCCCAGAACTACTGGTCCCCAAGGATTAATAATGTTAATCCCTATGACCCTGCCCTGTTACCTCACCATCAACCACGAGAATTGCGCACGAGCTGATCACATACCCTGGGATGCCCCTCCCTCACCTTGTCTTTAAAAATGTTTTGCTGAAACCTGTCAGGGAGTTTGGGTATTTTGAGCACTAGCTGCCTGGACTCCTTGCTTGGTGCCCTGCAATAAACACCGCACTTTCCTTCACCACAACCTGGTGTCAGTGGATTGACTTTGCTGCACATGGGCGAGCGGACCCAAGTTTGGCTTGGTAACATGGCCCTTTAAACCCCTTGGAAGCTGCTTAAGCTGGTGGTGGCTGCAATAATAGCTGTGTGCCTGGGTGCCTGCATGCAGGATCAGAAGCAACAATCAACAATCAGAGCACAGACTCCCAATATTGGGGGGCTAGGTCCAATATTTAAGGACAATGTCCTATGCCCACCCTGGCTCCGGCAAGCTGTGTGCCTGCTCTGGGAATACGTACACAGCTGTCTGCCACGCGGCTGGGGGGCAGGAATGGGAGATGAGTAGCTGCTTCCTTGGGAAGAGCTAAAACCGTGGCTATTAACCTTGATTTATGGTGCAAGCCTTCCCCTGGAAGCTGCAAACCTTTGAATAGACTCCGGCGTTCCAAAACAATTACATCAGGCAGATTCTGACAGTGGATTGTTGTCTAAGTGAGAAGACAGACTCCTGTGCTTTCCACTCCACCCTCTTCCCTGATGTCACTTCCTCCTTTATTCTTACACTTTATGGGTTTTATTTTATTTTATGTAAACATATTACAGATAAAAGACTATTTTTTACTTTAAAGTAAATTTGCATTTACTTTATACTTATGAATGTTTTTATATAATCAATAGTTACTTGGATTTTTCCCCTCTTTTGTCTGTTTATAGCCTTTGCCTATTTTTTTTTTTTTTTCTGTTAGGGAACATGAGTAATTTTTTTTTTTAAATCTCTACAAGTAAACAATTTAAGAAAAGGATGCTGGCAAATATAATAAAAACTGTTTACCCATTATAGGTTTCAGAGATAAATAGGTGAATTAAAACAGAAGAATGGTAACTTTTATGCCTTTTTAAGTACAAGGAAAATAGAATTGATACAACACAAAATCTGGCAAAGCTGTGTTGAAACTGGTCTATTCTAACTTTGCTGGTGGAACCCTTTTAGAAAGCAACTAAGCTCCACAAATATTTGTATCCTTTGTCCAGAAGTTTTTCTTAGACTGACTTGAGAAAATAAAAAAAGAAATACCTGTGGGCACAAATATATTCATGACAGCACTGTTTATAATTATGAAATATGGAAACAACCCAAATGTCTAAACAACAGTAGTCTGGCTTAGCTGAACAAGGTACGATCTCCTGAATTGAAAGTTTTGCAGTCGTTTAAGGTGGATATCATGTATCATTTGGGAAAAATTCTCCTGAGACATCGTCATGTGAAAGCCAGGCTGTAGACAGAGTGTCTGCAATGATATAGCTACAGCAGTGTCGCCTTGGCTTGGGGCCCAGGATGGAGGGAAACCAAACAGGGCTCGGGAGGGAGGGAGGGAGGGAGAGAGGGAGGGAGGCTGTGGTGAGCTCCCCTCTGCTCTGATTTCTATTGCTTGCATGATGTTACTTGGGCAATTAAAGGAAAAAAAAAAAAAAAAAAAAAAAAAAAAAAAAAAAAAAGATGGGGGTGGTTTGGGGGGAGGAAACAGGCAGGAGTTACAAATTCACCTTATAACAACAAAATCTGATTAGGAAATTCAATTAGCTAGCTCTCCTTGTTGGTGGGAACACTGGGGTCTGGCTGCTTTCCTGAATTTGGCGGAGAGGAAGCATCCAGCTCCCTGGATGGGCAAAGGTTCTCAGCAAAGACCAAATGTGGTCTTGAGGACCCTGCAGGGCTCGGGGTGGGGGTGGGTGATCCCTGAGAGCAGCCTGACTTGTGCATGGTCCTCCACTGCCTGTCACTGGGTCCTGGGCAGGACCCCCGAGTGAGGACACGTAGTGCCAATGCAAATGCCACCGACATAAGTGGGTTCCTGGTCATCCCTTGAAACTGGATGACAGGAGGGGCATGTCTGTTTCTGTCATCACTTATGATGCGGGGCCAGTACTAACATCACAGCCGCACGACTCTTTTCAGTGACCGCTGATTTCTGCAGAAACGGGAAGCTAGCAGGTAGCACATGCTGTCAAGGGCCTGCAGTGGGACTCACAGTGGTGCTTCCTGAAAACCCCCACCAAAGACCAAGAAACACTCACTGCCGTTTCAGCCACGGACCAGGGAGGTGCAGCCAGGGCTCAAGGTCACAGAGGTCATGACTTGTGGCTGCAGTCTCCTCCGAAGACCCTCAGAAATGGCCTGCCCGCTGGTCCAGCCTCCCCCGTCCCAGGAAAGGGGCAGCATCTGCCCAGGTCCCAGTACCAGAGGGGAGCAGGGAGACACCCAGGGGTCCACTCAACCCACCCCCCCCCAACACTAGGACAAAGGATGCTGCCAATGTTGCAGCCCCCAGAGGTAGAGGAAGAGCCTCTCAGAAGCTGAAAGGCCCCCCACCCTCCAGAGATGCCAAAGGCACTTGCCATAAATGAAACCATTAGCTTTTCATTTATTTACTCGGCCAACACTGGAGGGACTTTATTAAGATTCCTTCTTTTCTTTCTTTCCTTTCCTTTCCATTTTATCCCCCTCTTCCTTTTCTTTTTCTAAAGAGATGCTTTTAAAAGGTTTTTAAAGTCTCAGGAACTTTTGCCATTTCTGGCTCAGGAGGGGTCTGTGATGTCCCGAGCAGCAGCTCCTGAATCCAAGTCCTTTCCAGCAAGCCACAGCCCCCGGGCCTGCACGGGCCAGCGCATTCACCTCCTCTCCACCCTCCAGCCAGGTCTTTCCTGCCCCAGGGCCTTTGCACCCGCACTGTCCTACACCTGAACAGCTTTCCCCCAACCTCTGGGCTTCAGATGAAACATCTCCTTTAGGGAAGCTTCCCCCACCCTCCATCACTCTCTGCCTCGGCTTCTCATTTCCTTCTCAGTACAAATCACAGCTTGCAATTATTTTACACATTTGTCTGTCTGCTTGACTTTCTGCCTGTTTCCTCTGAAAACCCCGCCAGGGCAGGAAACCGGGGTGTCTGACTCACAGCTGTAGTATCTGTTCCTAGCTTACCTCTCATGCTCGATAAGTATGTGGGGGAGAAGGGCTGCTTCAGTCTGCGCTTCTGAATTATGTACATGGGATGGAGACCGTCCTCTGGAGGGAGATGTGGCAGAAGGCTGGTCTCAGACTCGCCTGGACCTCGGACCTCGGTTTGAAACCTGCTTTGGTTTCTTACAAGCTGTGTGACCCCAGACGGGGATATTCAGCCCTTCTGAACATCAATCACCTCCTTTGTAAAGCTGGAATAAAATATCAGTAGGGAGGGGGCTGTGGAGTTCACCCTGAGGCAGGGCAGGGGCAGGGTCTGGACAGCCTCCACGTCCCCCTTCTTTGCCTGCCAGGCAAGGGGAAGGAGGTAGCATTAACTGAACACCTACTGTCTACCAGGCACCATGCTAGGCAGCTGGAATGCAGAGGTGAATACAACAGAAACTGCCCCCCAGCCCTGGAAACTCTAGTTGAAAGCAGGACGGACACAGGGGGTTCCCAGCACCCTGAGTGTCAGGAAGGAGAAGGGTGGGGTGTGAGCAGGAAACCGAGGCCTGGACCAGCCTGGAGGGTCAGTGGGAAGAGACATCTGTCTGAAACATCACATGTGCAGGAGTCTGGGGAAAAGAAAGACCAGGCAGAGGGAAGAACATTGCAGAGGCGCTAAGACAGAATGAAGCTGGGCACGTGTGAGGATGGAGTGGAGGGGGAGGGGGCAGTAGCTGGAGCGGGAGGTGGGGATAGCTTGCTCTTATCCATCCTGACCTGGCCACCACCAAGCACAGGTGCAAAAGCCCTGCAGCCCCACGAGTCAGGGCAGGCTCAGCACCCGGCTCAGGGCCCGGTGGAACGGGGAACCCACTCATACCTTTGGCAATGCATACTTCGGCAGCTTCATCGGGACAAATTCATTGCGACGATAAGAGATGTAGTATTTGGTCTGGTTTGTTGAGGTTGCCTAACAGGAGGGGAAAAACAAGTTTTTAAGGGACTAGGTTTCTTTTTTTTTTTTTTTTTCTTTGGCAGTACGCGGGCCTCTCACTGTTGTGGCCTCTCCCGTTGCGGAGCACAGTCTCCGGATGCGCAGGCTCAGCCGCCACGGCTCACGGGCCCAGACGCTCCGCAGCATGTGGGATCCTCCAGGACCGGGGCACGAACCCATGTCCCCTGCATCAGCAGGCGGACTCTCAACCACTGCGCCACCAGGGAAGCCCAGGACTAGGTTTCTTGTCGAGCCAAATCCTGGTGAAAATGCCCTTTTACTTTGCTTATACATGCTCTGCCTGAAATGGGCAGACTCCTATTCATCCTTCAGAGCCCCACAACAAATGCCCCACCTCTGGGAAGTCTTCCTCCACCTCCCTCAGTTAGAACTAACCTCCTTCCCCATGCTCTCTCAGCACCTGGCTTCCCTACGTCTGAGTCACAGACAAGGTGAAGAAAATTCTGTTCCCCAGAACTCCTCTTAGGGAAAGTACTTGGTGAGCCACTGAGTGGAGGAAGAGACAGGCCAAAGGTAAGCTCAAGCCACAAAAGATGACCACCAGACCATGAGGCAAGAGAAACAAAACGAGAGGCAACACTCCTGAGACAGTCATGTGGCCAGCACTGTCCCAAACAGCTCATCGGTATCAAAACCAACAACTCCACGACCTGTGATCATTTCCATTTTAAAGATGATAATAGTGAGGCCCAGAGATGGAGTAACTTGCCTCTCACGGGATATAACAGAAGACCCAGGAAAAGAGCAGCATGTGCTTCTTTGGGGCAGCGGCAAGGAGGAGGGGATGAGAAGGGAAGACAAGGAACAAGGGGGCAAACGGGTGATGGGAGAGGGAGTGGGCCAGGAGCTGGACAGGGCACAGTGACCCCTGACCTCTGGCCCCGGCCGGGCATGCACCGCGGGCTGCGCCTTCCCCCGTCGGACACAGTGTCACCAGCGGCAGACCAGGCCTCTGCGACAAAGTTGAGAGCCAGCCGTTATCACATCTGAACACAGATCAGCCAGCGATGACCGTGCACCGTCCAGGCTGAGTGTGCGGGGGCGGCTCCTTCACCATCATGGCTCAGCCTCCTAAGCCCCCTCCTTCCAGACCAGGTCACTGAGCAGCCCAGTTACAGCGTGGCCCCGCTTCCCGACAGCACCCAATCCGGCATCTTCCATCCTCTCCGAGCCCCCTCCCATGGCCCACCCTCGGCCAGGCCTTCCCAGCACCTCTAACTGAGCTCCGCACCCCATCCTGGGGCCCCGTGGTGCATGGTGCCTACTGCACAAGGACCAGCCCAACCTGTCCAGCCACAGCTGTGCCCCCGGGGTCTCAGGCTTGGGGCGCTGGCAGACCAGACAATCACAACATTGAGAAAACACTCAACGTGAGATACGGTTGTCAAAGAAGCCAATGCTGTCATTGCTCCAACCCTTGGTAGATATTTGCAGAAACACAATGGGAGGTGCTGGGAAGACAGCGGTGCTGAGAACAGACCCGGAGCCCCCACCCGCACCGGACTGCAGGGTCTACGGTAAACAGTAAAGGATGACAATGTGGCCTGGCTGTGACAGAGGAAGGCACAGAGCTGGGGGCGCTCTGAAGAGGCAACCTGTGGGCCTGAAGTAGACTGGAAGTCAGGGAAGGCTTCCTGGAGGAGGTGGTGCACGACAGTGTTGGGGGAGGAGGTGGAGAAGGGGGCGCGAGCAGTCCACGCCCAGGGAACAGCGGGTGCAAACACACAGAAGGGATGGGAAGCCGTGGGGCTGGGCATCAGCAGAGGGTGAAGGAGAATGGGGGCGGGGCTGGGAGTCAGGGCCAGTGGTGGCAGAAGCCTCTTGCCTGGCCTGCTCTAATGGGGGCCGTGACGCACCCTGCCAGTTCCAGCCCCCAAATCCTTAGGAGGCCCTGGTACACTCTGCATGTGATGAAACGTCCCTGAGATGGGGGAGCCTTCAGGGGAGAGAACGCCAGCAGCTGCCCCTAAGGGGCCATCTTCATAGGAGCCTTTGGATTTCTCATGGGGTCCTAGAAGGCAGGGCAGGGGTCACTGGATGAGAGTAGAGGAAACACTTTGTCTCAGTACTGGAATGACATTTCCAAAGATTTGAGCTATCCGGGAGAGGGGTAGGCTGTTTTAGAAGGAGTGAGCTCCTCATTGGTGGAAGTAATCAAGAAGTGGTATGACCAGCTGCTTCCCAGAGTGTCTGAACCGTCAGACCACATGGTGGTCCCAACCGTGATCTGAGTACCTGTGTGTACAGGCAGCAGGTCTTGGTCCCTGGGCTGTGGATACCTGATGCCTGGTGGCCAAGAGAAATGACCAGAGACAGCAGCTTTGAATATCATTTCAAAGTCACCAGAACCAGATGGAACAAAACGGGTTTGGGCTTGGGGGCCCTGGGCTGTGGGAAGTTCCTGGTGGGCAGAAGGGAGGAGCAGGTGGCATCCCTGTGTTTTGGGGTTTGGGGGGGGTGCCTTCCACCACCATCACAGGGGCAGGGGAAACTGAATTAAGTAGCACTTGAAAGTAAAATAGCCATTTTATTGCTTCCTGTTTGAGTGATTCCATTTTCCCCCAAGTGGCTTATACTCCACATCACCTATTGCTGATTTCCAAGAGCCCCAGCAGGAACCTCACCTTAACGAAGATGTAATTGTCCTGCACGGTCAGAGAACTGTGGTCAATGGGGCCCGCGAACGGCACTGTCAGCGTCTTATCGGAGCAATTGTGGATCTGGCAGGTGACATACCGAAAACCTGCAGGAGATAAGAGCCAGCCACGCGGTGCATGAAATCTCAAAGACTCAGACTAGCTGAAGGAGTCAGACACAGCCTCAGACATGATTAAGTGCTGAACCTTTTTGGCTCGGTCTGCGTTCCGACACCACTGCCGCCGGTTTTGTTTGTGGGTCTGAATTTTAAACGGTGTGCCCTGTGACTGCACCTGCTGCTGAGCGGGGGCAGCTCTGTGCCAGGCGCTCTACTGCGAGGAGTTCTTTTAGTACTCAGGACCCTGCAACGATGGTCCCATCTTCCAGATGTGGAAACTGTGGCTGAGCAAGGTTAGGAGACTTGTCTACCTCAGGGCCACCCGGACTGCCTCGAGCTCTTCCTAAAGGAAGTTTCACTGGAACACAGCAGTGCCTGCTGGTTTACGCGTCACCCACAGCGCCTTCACCATACAATGGCAATCACTGGCAGCAGAGACCACACAGCCAGCCAGGCTAAATCGTTTACTAGCTGGCCTTGACGGGAAGCGTTTGCTGACCCCAGGCTAAAGCTGTGCAGGGGAGCACTGCCGTGTGAGTGCAGGACTTGATCAACATTCTGTCCCATGCGCCCTCTGCCCCTGGCTTAGGGTTAGGGTTAGGGTTAGGCACGGCACCTGCACATCCATGGCCACCTGTATCCTCTGTCTGGGAGAGGGACCTCGGAGCAATCTGGAGAGACGGTGGGCAGGAGACCCCCCCACACACACATCTCCCACCCACCAGCCTTCCCTGGGCAAGCTGGGTGCATGTGGTCACCCAGGGAAGGGACAGTGCAGGGCCATGGCAGGCATCGATCGCACCCATCACGACTCGGGACCCCTCCCACCCTCCCGGAGTCTCTCCAACTTAAATGGGTGGGTGTGGGTAGGACTCAGGGGTTCTTTACCCCCTAACTTTATACAAACACTTTCATCCCTTTAGAAATATCTACGATCAAGCAAGTTGAACCCCCGTTTTGCCAGAGGCAGCCGCTGCTCTATGTCAAGCCCTCTGTTTCCCGGGTTGGGGGCCCCAGCGGACTTGCGCAGGGGCCTGGAGCCTGTGCCCCGGGGGACCTCGTCTCTACCGCTTTTGGGCAGGAGTGGCATTTAACCACGGGGACCAAATGGAGCCCAGCCAGGGTGCTCAGAGACGTCAGCGCTTTCGGGGCACGTCCTGCCCACAGCCTTGGGTGGCCGGGCAGCATGGAGAGTGCCAGGGGGCGGGGCTGGGGGCCGGAGGACCTGCCCTAACTCACCGGCAGGGTCCCCTGGGTCTCAGCTCCTCCACGGTAATGTGGGTATTAATGCCCACGTCAAAAGAGCAGGTGAGCGTCTAAGAGACCGTGTGCACAGTAGGCCCGCAGTCAGCCACGGCTGTGCCATGGCCCCTCCTACACCACTTCCATCTCCCCTCTGAACGGCCTGGTCACTCCCTGTGGTCAACACTGAATTTCCTGTCGTGGGCTTGCCTGGCTGGGCACTCCGTGGAGTTGAGCCCAGGCCAGACTCAAAGTGGACCATCTGCTCACTCACCCGTTCATTCATTCATTTACTCACTTGCCCACTCATTCATGCATGCATGCATTCATTCATTCATTTGTTCATTCATCCCTCCCTGTTCCAGCTCTACTGCCAACGAGACAGACAAAGACCCCCTTTCACGGGGCTGAAGGTTTGTGCAGTGGGAGAAATGCCGATTCACAGCGCTTGCCAATTTCTCTGGTGTAAACCACCGCCCCACCCCAGTGGGGGGGGGGGGGGCGCATTCTCAAGCTGCCGAGATGAAGTTTCTGACCACGGGGCTGAGAAGGGAGGTGGACGCTTGGCTCTCATGAACCGGCACCAGCTGCAGCTCTGGGGAGAGGCAGACGGACCGACAGTGACAACGTGGTGTGACAGGCAGTGAGCATCCTCGTGTCCGCGGCACGGATTTTGGCCGCAGGGTCCTGCCGCGTTAGTGCAGGGGCCCAGCATCTGCTCAGGGCGACTGGCACCTGGCCATGTGCTTATTCATTTGGTGGCTCTACTGGGGACACAGAGGTGAATCGATCAGGCCCCGCCCTGTCCCCAAGGAGCTCCAGGCCCGGGGAAGTGTGCGGAGCTGTGACAGGGCAGTCCGGGTGCTGTGGAGCCCAGAGGAGGTGGTGGGAAGCCCAAGAAAGACGTTCAAGGTGGCCAGATGGGGAGCAGCCTTCCCGCAAGGGCGAGGACAGGTGTAAGGTGACCTTGGGGAATGGCCCGTAGCTCAGGCTGGCCGGAGGGCAGGTGGGGCCGGTGAGTGGGGTGGGTCCTAAAGACCCGGATGCTGTGCCACCAAACTTGGCTGGACTGGGTTCTAACAGGTCTCCCGGGCTGGGGTGGCTGGAGGTAGGGGAGACGGGGGAGGGACGCTGCTCCGTCCTGGGGGTCCTTCACGTGCACATCACAGCTGCTAGGCTCAGGGTCCCTCCTCCCCCGGGGAAGGTGGGCTGCGCGGAATCATCGCTGGGTGAAAACGGCGCCCCTTGTTGAGGATGGAGGCCTGACGTTCCTCCTCGCTGGAGGTGGGAGATCACGAGACATCACCCGCCTCTGCTGCGTAGAGCCCTGCTGGGGATCAGGTCGCCGTGAGCGTGGCCTGGATGCTTTTGGATTTGTGTGTGGAGGATGGTGGGGCTGTGGTCTGTACCAGCCCGTGACCCTGTGATTTGGGGCAAGCCTGGAGCCTCTGTGAGCTTTCTGCTCCTGGTCAGTGAAGCTGAAGCGACAGTGACGTCCCCGCAGGACGGGGGCTGGTCCGGGGAAGGGTCGAGGGCTTGGACATGGTAAAAGGACCCACCACACGTTGACACACGACGTCCCCAGGCTGAGCACCACGTATGGGGCACATTTCACAGACAAGGAGGCCGAGGTGCAGGGTCACTTCCAGGCTCATGTGGCTGGCACGTGGCGGGCAGGGAGCTGACGCCAGCGCCTCTGTCGCCAGCCAGGACTCTGGAGCCTGGCACCACTGAACCTACGTTCCACATAGTATGGCCCAGACGGGGGACAGCTGTTTGCACTTGTCAGCTCCCACTGTCGGTCCAGTGTGACCCTGCCCGGGTATCCACTCTGAGAGAAACCACCAGGACGTCCCACCAGGCAAGGGGCAGGGCTGCGTCTTGTACTTGACCCTGCTGGGGACCCTGCTGCATCCCCAGCAGGGTCAGCCCTGGGCCTGGTCCACAGGGGACTCAGTCAGTGTTTGTTGAATGAAGGCACAATCTACAGGTCCTCTCGGCTCTGATGTTCTAGAACATTCCATGGTTCTGCTGCCAGTGCCACTCCTTCAGGAGCACAGAGGACCTTTCTCACAGCATGTGCGGCCCCCGGGCTCATCGGCCACGAAGCTCCTTGCTGCCCCCCCCCCCACTGGAGGGAGCCATCGGAGGCCCTGCCCCACCTCAGCACTCAGCAAGCTTGGTGGGGGGCAGGGTGGGCGCTGAGAGATGGGGAAACACTCAATGCTCAGGGGCCAGAACAAGTGGTCCTCTCAACAGACTTTGCCAGTGGAGTGGAGCTCCTTGACTTCAGTTTATCCCCGCTTGGAAAACAAGCACATTTAAAATTATGCCACATCGTCACACAGCAAGGTCAGCTGTGCAGGGCCAGCCACGAAGGACGAGGGTAGCCAAGCCGGCCACGGGGCGAGCAGACGTGGGGCGCCTGGCTCCTGTACCCTCCCGGCTTACCTCCTCCGAGCTCCTGGGCCTCCACGTGGACCAGGTCTGGGTCAGCGTCCACTCCAGAGACAGCCCTGGAAAAGAATGGCTGAGGCTGGCGTCGGGAACGGAGCCCCCAAGCCCTTCTCGTGGGCCTGTGCGGTCCCCGAGCCCCAGGCAGCCATGTGGCCTCCAGGATCTGGGGCTCAGAGGACACAGTCCTCCCCGAGAGCTCACCTGCTCCTGGGAGGCCGATGGAGCCCCGGCCTCTGCCTTGCAGGGCCCAGGGTTTGCTGGGCATTCTTCCATTTAGAGTAGTTTAGAGAAGACTTTCACATCCGTGCGCGTAGGTGTGTGTATGTGTGCACGCGTACGCACGTGTGTTAGTGGTGATCAGAACAACCCCCCCGAGAGTGCAGACCCGGATTCGCACCAGGGTCCTCCTCCCTTGTACCTGCTCCCCTTCATGCCCCCTTCACGGTATATCCTTGGGAAGGCTCTGCTCTCAGCCACGGGCCCCTCCCTTGACCACACTGCTCCAGGGCTTCGGGCAGTGCATGGCGCACAGGGGGACCGTGGCTGCCCACGACGGAGCATTCAACGAGGCCCGAGAAGAACGGGACGAAGACACACCCTGGGGGGGCAGGGACTGGGCTGCATCCTCCAGGGGAGTTGGGGACGGCGCTGACCCCCGCCAGCCCAGCACAGGGCCTGGCACCCAGGAGGTGGAGTGCAGGTTTCTCAACTGATGATGTGATGTGGCCCAGGGTTTCCCAGATTTTACCGGTTCCAGGTATCAACTGGACTGTCATCTCCTGCCATGTTCTGTATGTCAGCTCCCTTTAGAACCTTCTAGCTACTTGAGCCATCTCCGGAGCAAGAAAACCCGGGGCGTCATGGGTGTGGGGAGCTGATTACATTTGTTATAACGTACATTCCAGCCGGTCTGACTATTAAACTCCATCCACCAAGCTGACCTTCTCACGGACAGTAATCTGAGGCAGCACATTGACTTTGCCAAAGAGCAAACTGAGAGTCTGATGCAGAGGTTACTTCCCACGGCCACTCAGCACCCAGGACAGGCATCCCCATGGCCCCACCAGGCCAATGAGATGTCCCTGCCACTGACTGCTCAGTCCCCACCACTGACAGCCCCCGGAGCTGGCCTCTCTCAGTTCTCAACCCGATTCCTAACGGGCTTGGCACCAGGGTGCCTGTTTGCTTCACCTCCTCCAGGGGCCAGGTGGTCCCAGGTGGACAGGGGAAACCCACAATGCTCCCCGTGGTGGGATGTGCAGTCTGTGATGTTTCAAACGTGGGTGCCAGCATCAATCACTCTGACTTTCCATAGAGTCTCCATCGCAAGGTGAAGTGTTGATTTAGGTTTTGTGAATAAACCATTTGTAAGCTCCTTGGAAGGAGGTCTCCTGCCTGACATTTTCCTCTCTTTTCTGAATAAAGAGAGACATTGTTCCCTTTACCAGAAGCACTGACCGGTCCTCAGCTGGGCAGATGGAATTTTAGTTTGACCATCCATCATCTGTAAATGGGGTCATGACACTCAGCCTGTCACTCATCCACTCACTCACTCTCTTATTCCCTGTCTCTCTCACTCTCCATCGGAGCCTCTCCCCTGCCACTTCCCAGCACGCCCACACCAGGTCCTGCACCAGGCAGGGAACACAGTGGGCCTGAGGTCCCTGCCCCAGAAACCCTTGGTCACGGGTTTTGAAGACCACGTGAAACTCTGCATTTTCACACCTCAGATGAAGCCTGGCTCCCTGTGGGAAATGACAAGCATTGAGCCCTGGGCCTTCTTGTTTGTCAAGGTCCCCAAAGATAGTATTTGGGGAAGGCCCTTGGTCTACTGTTTAGAAACAGCAGTCACATGAGAAGCCCTGTGGCCACGCAGCCTCAACAAAGAGCACGGGGAGTTGATTGCTGCTCCTTTGGATGCTAAGGGAAGCTCTGATGCAAACAGTTCTGGTAAACCCTCTAAGACACCACCACCAGGGCTGTTGTGGGATGAACTCTGTCTTCCCCTCACCTCCCTTCAGGACCGAAGTGCTGACACTTGCCTCACACCTGGGCAGGCACTGGAGCTCATGGAAGTGGAAGGCTGAGGCCTTACGGGTGAGGCTGGGTTCGAGGCGGGAGGAAGAATTGGAAACGGCTGGGAAAGTGCAGGCGGCCAGACTGCGCGGCAGAGAAGCCAAGGGCAAGGTCACTGGCCACGGACAGAGGCAGCCATGGCCCATGACCTAGGACAAGTGCCCTGGCCTCTCTGGGCCGCCGTTTCCCCCTCTGTAACGTAAGGGGAAGACAGTTGGGTGCCGCTGTGTGGATCTCATAAGAGGATGCACTCGGACCCGAGGTCTGGTGCCCGGTGCACAGTCAGTGTTCACAACGTGGCTGCTGCTGGGCGGTCCTTATAATTTTGTCCCAGTGCCGTTGAGAGACTAGCAGGGAGGCGACGCGTCAGGGCGTTCGTGGGCCCAGAACATAGTAGGTCTCCCAGCCCCCGGCCATGGCCCCATGAGGCCAGTCTAAGGAGCTCACTTGTTTAAGCTTCTCAAAACATTAAGGGTCTGAGTCTCAGACAGAACACGGGGCTTCGGCGAGTCCTGCTGTCAGTTCAAGGACAGAGAGCGCCTTGGAAGTGCTGTCAAAACAGCATTATTCACTGTTTACAAGAGGCGCCGTCCCTGTGTTGTCACCACGTTCCCAGGGAGACTCCCGGGCCCCGAGCAGACAAGTGTCTGGCGTGATTATCCCTCTCGCATAACAACTTGGAGCAATTTGAGAAACCTGGGGGAAGACATAACTTGATTTGCCCGTGATAACAACGAGTCTGAATGAGCACCAACTTAGGTTTCAGTGTCTGCGGGCTGTTTCTCTCTGTGGCCCCAGGGGTCTCCCCGGAACTGGACACACTGGCAGAACCACTCCCCGCCAGTCCCCCGAATCCTGATCTGCCAACTTCCCAGGCCGCCCTGCTCAGAAACCCCACCTCCTGGCCCCACTCCCCACACCCTTGAGCCCCTGCGGGCTAACAGTTGACAAGAATGACAGGGCCTGTGGTTGATGCCGCGCTCCAGTTTCCGAGGAAGGACCCGGGACCTCTCGAGGACGGCCACATGGAGGGAATCCTCACCCCCCCCAGCCCCCGCGGCGGAAGGCACACCCCCAGGCCGTTGTTCCAGAGGCGAGACCAAAGCTTCCCTTCAGCCTGTGGCCCTAAGTCTGCAAACCAGTTCCTGGCCCTGATTAGCATGAAGACGCAGACGGAACAGGACAGGACGGGAAGCTCTTCCCATGGTGTTTGTCCTGGGGACGCAGGGCTGCGCCTGGCTGGGAGGCCTGGGCGTACGTGTGCAGCCCAAATGAGATAAGAAAGGGGAGGACGTGAGTGTGTGTCATTTTCACACTCAGGAAAACGCAATTTGGTGGAAGGAGCACGTGTGTCACTGCATGCACCTCCAGAGGGTAGTTTAGGCGGGGTGTGGGCGGCAGCCGGGTCAGGGGCGCCGGCGTGGGCTCTGAGCCCCGCCTTTGGCTTCTGCTCCCTCTGCAGAAGCCCTGGACCTCGTCCATGTCTCATCCTCGCGGGCCTCACTCGCTTATCCAACAGGCGTTTCCTGAGCACCGGAGCCTCTCGCTGGGGCAGTGAGACTAGAGCTCCACGCAGATCGATTGTTGAGTGGCTCCCAAGAGATGACACCAACGCGGAGGGGGCCCGGGCACCGGCTGGGGCAGGAGTGAGGGTCCAAGACCGGCAGAGGCCGAGCAAGCCATGGGGCAGTGGAGGATGCACCGCCGGGCCGTCAGCGGGGGGCTGAGTCAGGACCAGCACAGGAGAGGCAGGGGCAGGGGGGAGGGGGGATGGGGACGCTGGGCCTGCTGTGTGTCGGGCACTGGGCCAGCTCTATGTGCATTAGTGCCTCTCCCTACTATGGGGGAGTCAGAGGCCCAGAGAGGGAGATTCACGTGTGCGAAACTGCACAGCTGGTTCGTGGGTGCGCATGTGGCCTGAGCGACACCAAGCCCCAGCTCCCAGCCCTTTCCCACGCTGTCCCAGCAGAACAGAGAGGACGCCCCGGAGGCCCCCCTGGGATGAGGAGGGCAGGGCTGGGGCACAGAGGAGAAGGTGGGGGACCTGAGCTGGGGGCCGAGGGCGCTGACTTGGCCTCGCCGGGGCTCCCCGGGTGCAGGCGGTGGGG